ATTTGATATTGTGCCCCATCAAAGGTTACACAAAAAAAGAGAAGTTTATGCTATTTGGGATAGTGTTAATATAGATAGAGGATTTGTTGGCTAATAGGAAATAGTAGGCATAAATAGGTTATTTTTGTTTGACAAGGTGTTACAAATGTAATGTCATACAAATCTATACGGAGGGATCAGCATTCTACAGTCTAGACCAATGACCTGAATGAACGATCTGTACATATGGTGACTAAACATGTTGTGTATTGATTACACAATGAAAGCTACAAAAGTAAGTTGCAAAGAGGACATAAAGAGATTACACAGGGATAAGGGATAAGTTAAAGGAATGGTAAAAATATGGCAGATGGAGTATAGTATAAAAAATTGTGAACTTGTTCACTTTGGCTTAGGAACAGAACAGCTGCATATTACTTAAATAGAAAAAAGTTGCAAAACTCTGCAGTACAAAGCAAGCTGGGTGTCATGATGCATGAATTACAAAATGTCTATTTCAATCATGTTATAAAGGAAATTACAAATTTTGATTAAACAATTTTTAGGTAATAAGATAATAAAGACCTAAACACCTGAAATTAACAAGAACTGAATGTAATGGAACTGCTTTATTAAAGCGACCTCAAAGACTTATTGGCAATCATAAGCACTCTCACTTCACATCAAAGGTTATTGCAGAAAATAAAATCTTACAGTGTAGGGTGTAGTAAGTTGGCATGGATAGATGATGAGCTGGCTCACAGGAAGCAGAGTAAACATATAGAATCAGAGAATCCCAACATTGTGGAAAGAGGCCATTCAGCCCATTGAGTCTGCATGATCCTTTGAAGAACATCCCACCCAGACCCAGCCCCCACCCAATCCCCATAACCCCATACTTTCCACCGCTGACTAACCTAGCCTGCACATCCCTGGACACTATGGACAATTTAGCCTGGCCAACTCACCTAACCTGCACATCTTCAGACTGTGGGAGGAAAGCGGAGCACTCAGAGGAAAGCTATGCAAACACAGGGAGAACGTGCAAACTCCACACAGACAGTTACCCAAGACTGGAATCAAACCTAGGTGTCTGGCATTGTGAGGCAGCAATGCTAATCACTGAGCCACCATGCCACTCTTAAATGAGTCTTTTTTTGGGGTTGTCAAGATGTAGTGAGTGAAATAACTCCCCAGAGGCCACTATCCTGTCACCTGTTATTTATACATGCATAGTACTTGACACTGGTTCAGCTTCCTCAGAGCCAGCTCTCAGAGTGAGCAGAACCTCTGACACTCTTGTTTATATCTGTCAGCCAGGGCTCCCTGATTGGAACAGGTTAACAGCCCCAATCAGGGAAGTCATTCTATAATGTCCACCTGGATGACCTCATTACAAACACTTCAGTGAGTGGTGTGCAAAAGGGATTGGTGATGGGACCTCAGCTGTTGACAATTTATATAAATGACTTAGATGAAGGGACAGCTGATACGATTGCCAAACTTTCTAAGAACACAAAGATAGATAGGAATGTAAGTTGTGAAGAGACTTAATAAGATATTGATAGGTTAAGTGAGTAAACAAAGATAGAGCAAACTGAGTATAAGGTGGGAAAATGTAAAATTTTGGCAGAAGGAATAAAACAGCATATTTTGTAAATGGTGAAAAATGTTACAGAGGATCTTGGGTGTCCTGGTGTATGAATCCTAAAAGGTTAATATGCAGGTACAGCAAGTAGTTTGAAAAACTAATACAACAAATACAAAATTTGGGAGGTTACGTTTTAGTTATACAGGTCATTGGTGAGACTACGTCTGGAGTATTTGGCCATTTTATTTAATGAAGGATATCAATGTGTTGGAGGTTGTTCACATAAGGTTTAATGCACTAATACCTGGAAAGAAAGATTGTCATATGAGGAAATTTTGGGTAGGGTAGTCTTATATACAGTGGAGTTTAGAAGAATAAGAGGTGACTTGATTGAAACATTTAAGATCTTGAAAAGTCTTGACAGGTTAGATCTGGAGAGGATATTTCCTCTTATGGGAGAATCTAGAACTAGGTATCATTGTTTAAAAACTAGGGGTCGTCCATTTAAAACAAAAATGAGACAGATGCCTTTTCTGAGGGTCCTAAGTCTTTAGAACTCTGCTGCTACCACATTTTCAGGTCAAAAGTGCATGATTATTTTCAAGGCAGAAGTAGATTATTGTTAAGCGAGGCGATGCAAGATTATTTGAGGTAAGTGGGAATTTGAGTTTAGAATTAGATCAAACATTATGTTACAGAATGGTGGAGTAGGCTCAAGTAAGCTTAAATAGCCTACTCTTGCTCCAAATGCACGTCACTCACTTCTGACTCAGAGTTGTGAGTTGTAGTCCCACTTGAAGATTTGAGCACAAACATGGAGACAATGAAGTACTTAGGAAGTGCTGCACTTTCAGGCATGCTGTCTTTTGGATTTAATGTTAAACCAAGGTCTTCTTGGCTCTTTCACATGGATGGAAAATAATGGCACTATTTTGAAGAACAGCAGCAAAGATTTGATGGTCTCCTGGTCAATATTTATCACTCAATCACTAAAATAAATCAACTGCTCTATTTCCAAACAGAGTCTACATTTTCAAAACAAAACAAACATAGACAATGGTGAAGAAACTCAGCAGATCTGGCAGCAGCTGTGGAGAGAGAAGGAGTTAAAATTCCAAGTCTGATATAACTCTTGAGTTCTGAAGTTCTCAAGAGAAATTTTCTCTCTACAGATTTTCTCTTCATGGGCTACAAAGTGAAGTCAAACAGAATTGCAGGCAACAGTACAGCTCTACCTGATGAGTTCAATGCATTCAACACTTGCTTTGAACAGAAGGGCAGTGAAACAACGTCACCTATCCCAGCAGCCTCGGATGAACCGTACCCTTGGTCACCGCTGCAGGTCTTGGCCTTCTTAAGGGTGAACCCACGGAAAGTGATTGGCTCGAATGGAGTCCCCGGCTGAGCAATCAAATCCTGTGCAGACCAGGAATATTCGCAGACATCTTCAATCTCTCCTTACTAAATTCTTAAGACCCCACCTGCTTCAAGAAGACCACCATGATCCCAGTGCTAAAGAAAAATTATGCATCGTACCTCAATGACTACCACTTGGTGGCTCTGACATCCACAATCATGAAGTGCTTTGAGGGGCTCACATCAACTCCAGCCTTCCAGAGTGTCTTGATCCTTTGTAATTTGCCTAACGGTACAGTAGGTCCACTGCCGACGTCATCTTCATGGCCCTACACTCAACCCTGAAAGATCGGCACAACAAGGATGCCTACGCCAGGCTCCCACGTATTGACTACAGCTCAACCTTCAACACCATTCTTGTAAAACTCACCTTCAAACTCTAGGATCTAGGTCTCTGCTCTCCACTCTAACTGGATTCTTAACTTCCTGACCAACAGACCACAATCAATAAGGATAGAAGCAATATCTCCTCCAGAATAATCTTCAACACTGGTGCCCCTCACGGTTGCATACTCAGCCCCCTACTATACTACTTATACACATACACACACATAACTGTGTGGCCAAAGTCCACATCAACTCCATTTACAAGTAAAAACCAAAAGAACTGCAGATGCTGTAAATCAGGAACAAAAACAGAAGTTGCTGGAAAAGCTCAGCAGATCTGGCAGAATCTGTGAAGAAAAAATCAGAGTTAACGTTTCGGGTTCTGAGGAAGGGTCACCGGACCCGAAATGTTAACTCTGATTTATTCGTCACAGATTCTGCCAGACCTGCTGAGCTTTTCCACCAACCTCTGTTTTTGTTCCATTTACGAGTTGGATCTCAAACAACAATGTGACAAGGTACAGGAAGGAGATAGAGTGCTTAATGGCATGTTGTAAAGATAACAATCTTTCCATCAACATCAGCAAAATGAAGGAGCTGATCATTGACTTCAGGAAGCAGAGTGGAATGCATGTTCCTATCTCCATGAATGGTGCTGAGGTGGAACTGGTCAACAGTGTCAAGTTCCTGGGAAAGACAATCACAAACAATCTGTTCTTGACCCCCCCACATTGACATCATGGTCAGGAAAACACAGCAACGTCTCTATTTCCTCAGGAGGCTATGGCAATTCAGCATGTCCATAAAGATTTACAATATTTTGTAGATCACCATAGAAAGCATCCTATCTAAACAAAAACAGGGCAGCTCGGCGAGCAAGTCAACAACAGCATCCTATCTGGATGCATCAGTGTGTTACAGTTACTGCTCTTCCCACAACTATACACAGCTGCGAACACACCCAATCCCTCACACAAACCCCGGCCTTCCATCCATTGTCTTCATTTATATTTCCCCGCTGCATCAGGAAAGCAACCAACTTAATCAAAGACACCTCCCACCCCAGTTATAATCTCTTCTACCTTCAAGCAAAAGATATAAAAGTTTGTATACACATACAGACAGATTCAAGAACAGCTTCTTCCCCACTGTTATCAGACTTTTGAATGAACCTCTTTACTGTTAATATTGATCTCTTTCTGCACCTTCTCAGCAACTGTAACATTGTATCCTGCACTCTGTTCTGTTACCCTGATGCACTTGTATAGTATAATTTATCTGCAAAGCATGTAAGACAACACTTTTCACTGTACATATGACTGTAATAAATCAAATATATCAAATACTTTATAGAGATGCTGCCAGACATGCTGAGTTTCTCCACCATTTTCTTTTTTTGCTCGTTTGTTTGCTTCAGACTTCCAGCAACTGCGGTGTTTTATTTTTAGTTCAAAGGATGGAAAGGGCTTTAAGATGCCCAGTGGTTGTGAAAGCCACTCAACAATTGCAGAAGCTACTCTACCTACCACAGCAACAGTTAACACTTCATCAGGTGTCCAGCCATGCACATGCGCAGCTTTAATTCCCGGCATGAGGCGATCCGTCCATACGATAGGTCACTTTACTCCTTGATTGTCACTAAATTAACCAATAGAGATGCGGTTCTACACAGCGGGTAGTCGGGCGCTGGCGTACTGTCAAATCAGAACAGAGAGGCGGCACTTCCTGTTGGGCCGAGGCGCATTGTTGTGCTATGACGTAAGGAGAGGGAAAATGGCGGAGGTAGCAGCCGCCAAGCGGGGGCAGTGATCAACGCCAGAGCCCGGCACCAGGGATAGGCGACAGGCCAAAGGCCGGGAGAAGGCTGGGTGGGAACCGTGTCCATGGCGAGAACCACCAGCCAAATGGTAGGTAATGACCTGGTGAAAACGCAGGTCCTAATGAATCGGTATGTGGAAATCGTGAGATATAACACACGCTCCCTTCTCTTCAGAGAACATCAAGGAGACGGCAGGCCTTGATGCAGGCCCGTGTCTGGGGAACAAGCTAGGGGGTGAGGGAAGACTGCCTTCTGTCACCATATCGGGGGTCTCTTATAACAACAAGGGCGGAATGGCACTGTTGCGGATTGGGCACCGGTATTGCCGCGGATTGGGAGGGGCACGGAAGGCCTTGGTTTGCTCGTTAATCCCATTCCATAATCTTGTCAAGGTGTGTGGTTGCGGGATTGGGGGTGTAGGGGAGTTGAAGAGAAAGACAGTGCGCGGACATGAAGGATTTGATAAGGGAAGAGCGGGGATTTGCAGTGGCTTAGATGGGGTGATTGAGAGTGAACGATTGTGTCTGGGGAATAAGGGTGCAGGGGCCTACCTGTCTTTTGGAAGGTAAATGGGAATTTGTGCGTGTGTGTTTGGGAGTTGAGGTGTATGCATCTGTCAAGGATTGAAATAGGTGTATGTGCATCTCCATGGTGATGAGTATTGAGGCAGCGATTTGCATGGAAGTGTATTTGGTGTGGCGGGGAAGAAGTGTGTGTGTCTGTGTGGTTGAGGGAGACAAAGTGGGTGAACATCGTGTTGTGGAAATAAGGGGAAGTGGAGTGTAGGTCCATTTGTGGGAGGTAGAGAATGCATGTCCATGTGGAGGGGGTTGGGTGGAGAGAGAGTGCATATCATGTGGAAGTGGCAGAGAGGGGAAGAGCATGTACATATGGGTGTGCTAGAATGTGTCTATGTTGGGAAGGTTGTGATGAGAGCATGTGGATATCTGCAGGTTGGGGATGAATGGGAATGGGGATGTCACCATGTATTGTTGATGAAGCCATGCATGTGTTCTTGCAGATGTGATATGGCACATATTGTGACAAAGGATGTGTGCGTAATTGCAGGGTGCAGGTGTATATGCATGCCAAGGGCTATGATGCACATGTGTTTGAGGACATGGGATATTTACGCATAAGCATAGAGGAGGAGTGTGTGCTTAATTTTTGTACACAAGCATGGAGGGTAATGTGTGTGGATTGGTTTCTGAATGTTGTCTTGAGTTCTTATGTGCAACAGTATCTATTCATTCTGTCACTTACGGACTTTGCAGAATATCCTTCTGAAGTAGGATGGAGGTACGATCAGTTTGACTACTTGGAATAAGTTATTAATTAAACAATATAGGATTTAACTACTGAAGGACTTAATTGGAGTAAGGCATACCTTTTGAAGTAGTGTAATTGAATTTTTTGTTCTTATCCATCTGTAACGAAAAAAGACTTAAATCAGCTAGACAATAAAGTTTGCTTTCTGTAGATTTGATTGCAATGCTATGTCGTAGTTTTGTATAGCTTTTGTTCTAATGTCCTTTACTGAATTTCAAAAGCACCAATCAAATGTATTGCAGGTCTTTCCTTTTATCAGTTTTCGGGATATTGATCAAAAGTTCTGGTGCTCATGTACAGTGATGGTTGGTGGAGATGGTTGTGTCTTGCACTGTTTATCACTAATGATTTATCATTCACTATGGCTGAGGAGATGCATCATTGGATTGATTGCTACTTGTTTAATCTTTCACGGCTTTCTGTTTGAACGAAACTGGGATTTTGCATTTAATAAACACGTCCTAGAAATTCTTGCCATTTGTCTTAGAAAATAGATGTCTGACAGCAGTGAATCGTAAACTGACTTGAATCTTTGGTAATGACTTTCATTTTCTAGTAATGAAGCTGAAATGGTCTTTATAAGTGGTAAAACCCACCCTTTTTAATTTTATAGTACTGTTTGCCATATTTTTGTTTTCACTTGGAACTGATCAGCTATATTCTACTGGTTAGCTTCTCTAATGAAACCTGTTTAGTTGTAATGAACAATCAACAACAAGGTGTATTTTGTATTGCGTAATGTAAAACTGAACTGTTTGTGCACTTGCAGAAGGGATTGTAGTCTAGAGTCTGTGTTTCCTGTAGATAAACTGGTGATTTTTTTTTTCTTAAACCAGTGATAAACAATATCAAGCTCACAAGATAGTCAGCCAACTGCATGATGTGGCACAAAATCATACGCATCAACAAATATCCTTTAAAGCTGTGTGAAAACTTCTGGGCTAATGAGACAAAATCAAACTTGGTTCTTCATTTAGCTCCCTAATCAGTCTTTTCTGTGGGGAAATGTATGACCAAGTGAGGGCTGTACTGCCCTCATGCGCAGAATAAAGAATGACTGTTTGTTGAGGTACAAAATGATGCCAGTGCTGATTGTGTCACGTTGCAACATGTAGGGTATTGAGTAGAGAAAATTGCAGATGGCATAGAGTATCTGGAGAAGAATTTCAGATCTGGGCTAGAGATCAGGTATTTTTGTTGTCAGCCCACACGACTTTCAATCTTCTGATCAGCTAAATGGTGGCATATTAGTACTTGGAGTTTTAGTTTAAACAGAAACAGCAATAGTGTTCCTTTTATGTATGGATATTTGAAGGTGTCACTATTGTAAATAGAAACATAGAAGATTGGAACAGGAGTAAACCATTCAATCCCTTGAGCCTGCTCTGCCATTCAATGTGATTGTAGCTGAACATTGAGCTCAAACCTTAATCCTGACCTCCCCCCATATCCCTTTAGCCACGAGAGGTATATCTACCTCCTCCTTGAAAACACGTTTTGGCCTCAACCACTTTGTTAGTGAATTCCACAGGCTCAGCATTCTCTGGGTGAAGAAATTTCTCCTCCCCTCAGTTCTAAAGATTTTACCCATTATCTTCAAACTATGACCCATGGGCCTGGACCCCCCCATCATTGGGAACATCCTTCCTTCACCTAACGTCTCTCATCCTGTTAGAAATTTATAGGTTTCTATGAGATCCTCTCCATTCTTTTAAACTCCAAAGAATACAATCCTAACCAACTCAATTTCTTCTTGTATGTCAATCTGCCATTCCAGAAATCAATGTGGTAAACCGTCATTGTGCTCCCTATACAGCAAAAACATCCTTCCTCAGATGAGAAGCTGCTCACTACATTCCAAGCTTGGCTTCCCCAATATCTTGCATAATTGCAGCAAAATATCTTGTTCCTATACTTGGATAAAATCATAGTGAGAGGATTCTGTCCTGGATAATGGTAGAAATGGGTCTCATGGAGATCACTGATCAAAACACAGTCCTTTTTCTTTGAGTTCAAAGGTTAATTGCATAAATTTCTCTGGAAAATCTGTTATTGGGATTTTAATTTTACAAATTCGTATGGTGATTGGGGTTAAATAATGTGCGTACAGTAGATATACCTGAATATTTTAACTGATTACAATTTCTTTTTCCTGGCAAAGTTCCTAAATAATGTGATTGAGTATTTTGAGGGTTAGAGAGGGAAGAAAGTGGGCTGAGGCTGGTCACATGACATGCTGCTTTTTCCTCACAGTTTGTCTCTGTTGTGGTACTGCTGTAATTACCCCTTGGTGCTGGCAGGAAAGAGAACTACCCAAATCAGTAGTGAAAAGGCTGTTTAAAATTGTCAAAACAACCCAGGTTCCACAGCATGGGGATGGCAGGGAATTGCCACTAGTATCGCGGTTTGAATATGGGCCAGAGAACACTTGCACGGTTGCATACTGGAGAACCATCAGAGGAGAGAGAAAAACAAAATTCCCCTTAGGGTGCAAAAACATACTTTTTTTTTGAAAAGCTCTACTTTCTCATTTGTGTTCAAGGATATCGCTGTTTTGTTCATTTATCCTGCCAGTGTACCTGTAAGGTTTAGTTCTTTGTGAATTAAAATGCTCACATTTAATATCTGAATGTTGCCTAATCTGTACTGAAATGTTTAAATTTATACTTTTAAATCTAATTGTCTTGGGACAAGCTCAGTATTAGGCGGAGGGATGGGAAAAAATGAGATATGTAATACCCCTCCCTAGTAGCCCTGAATGTGTAACGTTTTGAGTCAACCATATATTGGATGTCCTGCGGAAGCCAGAACGGGTATGTTCTTTTTCGTAAACACCTCAGTGAACCAGTTTGAGTTCTGTAGGGAAGTAAAAGTAATTGGTAGCTGTTTCAGAGAGCTGGTACAAGTAAGATGGACTGAATGGCCTTCTCCCAAGTTGTGTTAATCTATGACTCCTTGATTTTCCATAGTTTAACAATTCTCAAGGTTGTTTTACAGCTAACAGTTCACAAATTGCAGATTTATTGTATTCAATTTCACAGCTAAGATTTGAACTTGCAACCTCTGGATTGCTGCCCAATGTCATAACTATTACAATAGCTCTCATTTTAGGTCAAGGGATACTTGATTAAATGCAAATCATTTCCATTGAAAGATTGAACCAAGGTATCCGGAGAGGTATCACTTCTCTCAGCAGTAGCTCTGCAGGATTTGCTAGAAGTTGTTGGTTTTTGACTGTCAGAATGTAATTCCAGCAAAGTACACAAGTAAATAAAAAGACAGAATTTTGAAGATCTTAGAACAGACATTCTATCAATATCTAAAAGAAAAAGAAGGTCTGAAATAAATGGTACCAATCTAAAGAAGTGATTGACCCATGTTTTTTTAGGAGTTGAATGACCTGGTGTTTCCCGAAATTCTCTCTTTATTTTAGATTCCATCTAAATTACTTTTAGTTCCTCTTGTGTAAACAAGTGTTTATTCATATCGGCCAACACAGATGACAGTCGCTTTTTGTCAGGACTCAAATTTGTTTTTCAATAAGAAAAATCATTCAGTGTCACTAACTTTGACAGAAGCACACGAGCTACCAAATTAGTGTTTTTTTGGAAAAAACTTTTCCTTTAGAAGAAGCGTTACTTAAAAAGCAGTTTCTATACTCCAGTGATCAGAGACCCACAAATGAACCACTAAAATATTTTAGCAAGTTACTGACATGCTACTCAGGAACACACAAGTAAACAGCAGGCCCTTGTGCTT